TTTGACACTATTGACTGACTAAGATGTTGCTGTGGTTGCCAATTTGGTATGGCTACCTCAGGGACTGCTCAGTTGGCCACTAGTGCCTTGTGTGTGTGGTTGCCTTGGGTCTTGGACCTCTCCGGGGAGCCACCTCTCTGGTCAGCTTGGACTCTGCCGGTCTGCTGGATCACGGGGCGGTACCGCAGGGTGTGTGGTCTCTGCTGAGCTTCCACCTCCTATGCTGGACTTCTCCCGGTTCTGTGTGCTCTGGCCCGGGCTGCTGGGATGTGCCGAGGCACCACATAGCGTGTGGTCTCTGTAGAGCTTCCCCTTCCCCTGCAGGATGTCTCCCTGCTCTGTGCGCGCTCGGCCAGGCTTCTGATGGAGCCGGCTGGCGGCAGTGAAGCCTACCTGCTGCTGGATCGCGCAGCGGCGGCACCCCCACAGGGTGTGCGGACTCCATGGAGCTTCTATCTCCCTTGCTGGACGTCTCTGTGCTCCGTACGCACTGGGCCGGGCTGCTGGATCGCACGGCAGCAGTGAGGTCCCCGTGGAGTTCCCGCCTCCCCTGCCGGATGTCTCCCTTCTCTGAGCGCACTAGGCTGGGCTAGGAATGGAGCCGGGTGCCAGCGGTGAAGCCTACCTGCTGGATCGCGCAGTGGCAGCCCCACAGGGTGTGTGGTTTCTGCGGAGCCTCCGCCTCCCTTGCCGGACGTCTCCTGTGTGTGCACTGAGCTGGGCTGAGAATGGAGCCGGGTGGTGGCAGTGAAGCCTATCTATCGGATCGTGCGACGACGGCCCCACAGGGCATGTGGTCTCCGCGGAGCTTCTGCCTCCCCCACTGGACGTCTCCCCGTTCCATATGCACTTGATGTTATGTTTTTATAGTTTAAATCGGTTGATTTGTGGGAGAGAGTGACGCTAGGGACCGTCTCTTCTGCCATCTTGAGCGGAAGTCCTAAACTCTTTTTTTTTCCTACCTCTAGTCATTCTTTTTAAGGCTCCTCTTCATCTAATAATCCCTTCAGTGTCTATGTTTCTCAGGGACTGAATCCTCAATCCTCTTCTCTCACTTTACTACTCCCCTGGATAAACTACACTAATCTCATGTCTCCCAGTTACCATCACAACACACTGGTGACATCCAAATTTGCATCTTCAGCCCAGATCTCTGCCTGAGATCTCTCTAGATATCTGTGGATACCCAACTGCTGCCTGGACATCTGAAAATCATCCAAAACTGAACTTATTGTAATTTCCACTTAAATTTCCTCCTTCTGATTTTCCTTTCTTAGTAAATGATACCATCATCAACCAAGTTGTTCAAATCAGGTATCTGGTAGTAGTCATGACTCATCCTTTATATTAATGATTCAGCAGAGCATACAAGTACCTAAAAGACCACAGCTAACTTTATGTTCCTATTGTCACTGCCACCAAACTGGATCTCTGATCATGGGACAGGTCTATCCTAGAGCTCATAACAGTCCACAGCCTTTTCCTTTACCTTCCTTTCTCTACTGCTTTACATAGTCTTTCTCTGTCATTAGACTACAAGCTTGCTAAGAGCAGAGATTA